GGCGAGTCACAGCCTTTTGCTAATTTTAAGCATTTTTCTACCAGAATTGGGTGTCAGAAAAAATTCCAAATCAAATCTCTGAGGAGGAGGGGGAGTTCTCCGTCCCCTTTTCAAATCTACCACTGCTTCGATTGATTGGAAAAGTAGATGCATAATAACTTAAAAAATACTACAAGCATATTTGAATCGTTACAGTAATGCTGAAGTTTCTTGAAATTTTTTCTGAAGATCATATATACCAGTGAGATACAACCTAACCACCTAAAAGTTATAATTATTGCAAACTACGTTTTTGTAGCTTTCGCAACTGGTGCGCTCAAGCAAAGCAGATGGGAAATCTGAAGAAGGATTTCGAGATGTTGGATCCCAAAAACGACTTCATCTACTACCCTACAGTGACAGCACTTGACCCTGCAGTTATGACAATGAACCGGTATTTTCCATTGTAAACAACTTTCATACGTGTTATCTCATTTAAATGCTTCATTGACAATTAAACATTGTTGTCAGGTACGGCGATGTTGACAATGGTGTTTTGCCTTACGAACACACGAGGGTGCGATTGCCCAATACTTGTATATGGTCTGAAATACAGGTGAGAACTTGTGCTGATTAAGAGTTAAAGTGTGAAGACTTTTGATTGAATCGTGTAATTTTTCGAAGTTCAGCTTTCGCAAGCGGATCTTAAATAACGCTCTCAGAATCAATTAAAAATTCTAAAAAGAAAATTTTTTTTTATAAATGAGAAATTAGGAGAGTTCATTCTCATTTAGGCTGGTCAATTTTCAAGAAATTTTAAAATTTTTCTCTGATTGAAACTTTTGTGCGCACCCAATCTCCATAAATTGGTAAATTATGAGAATTCAAATGCTTGAATTAAGTATCAGCAAATAAACTCTCGGAAAATTCTTTTTTAAATAATATTTTCGTTTGAACAAAACATCACAAACCATTAATAACCTGCCTAGAAAATCATATAAATTGGCGCAAGCTAGCCACATGAACCGGTAGTGTCCTCGAGACAAAATGCTATTTTCGACGGTGAGCCGTAATCAAGGTTGAACCAGATTAGAAACGAAAAACAGTTAAAAAGGTCAAATAGGTTAAAATCCCTGATTTAGTATGTTAAAACATGGGCACGTGGGGGACTCAAACCTACGTCGGATTGGTCTAGTTAGTTTTGTCTATTAACTTAGACCGCTCGGTCAAAAGTTCTTATGTATGGTTGTTTTTAAGCCAAAGAAATTGCGTTCAATTTACGCTTTCAGCATAAAGATCCGCACCCAAAACTCCGGAAAAACCGGAACACGTTTAACGGTCGGCCGAGGAAGTTTGCTTGTTGCGGTTATAACAAGGGTGGATCCTGCGCAACGGTCCAGTCGATAGTTTAGCTTAGCAATTCGGGATGGAGGGTAATAATCACGCGGACTATCGGGTTCAGTTAATCATACTAGGTCGCCTGTCTTAAGAGTGAAGTCAGACTGAGTGTGCCACTTGACACGCTAACTCAGTAATGTAACAAATTCTTGAAGCCAACGAGACCAAATAGGGATAGCGTGAAAATGCGCTTCCACATACTTTTTGTGATCAAAGTATTCCCCAGGTGAAGGCGAAGAAAACCTTGTGGCATGTTTCCCATGCAAAAATAAGTTTGAGGTTGATGCTTCTAATTCACGTGAATCGTTACTAATGGGAATGGTTGGCCTTGAATTCAAACAGTGCTCAACTAAGACTTACACCTCTTCAGTTCCCAACACCTCTTCAGTAACTCAACTACTGCCTAATATATCACAGAGCACGCGCTTTACCCATGAACAAGGCGCTCACAGGAGCCGCCATGATGGTTTGCTTGTGGCGAGATAAGTTTTCAAGAAACAATTTTGTCTGCAAAAATGGTCAGAGCCATGCTGTTTCAATTTTTGATGCAGACAAATAATTTATCTTCGCACCGTATTTAATCAGTCGTGCCGTTATCGGTCCAAATTGTGCTCGATGTACCACGAGGCGCAATGATTAGTTCAATGCCCATCACAAAAGAAGTATGTCCACAGGTTGCACAATCTCACGGTGTACATCCCTGGTGGTAAGGCAAGTGAAAAGAAGTCCCCATCTTTTCTCAGATGTTCGAAATTAAATGGCTGATTGTTACTAGGTTTTCATGTTTAGAACATGTTACCCATTGGTTTTTGGTAGACCGAAGAAGTCGACGCAACCCAGGTTTTGCATATTTCATGTTTGAAACGGAGCGCATGTAGTCTAAGCTTTGATGAAAACGCTTATGGTGGAGGCATTAGGTCAACAAGCAAAGGTTTGACAGGCGTCGAGTAATATTGGGTGCTTAGTTTCAACTTGTTGTTCACTAAGCGAGCACAAGTCGTGATTTTTTCACCTCAACGGGAAAAAATTCCATCTGACTTTTATGATTGATGAACTTTTTTTGTGCAATTTTTGCGATATTAATTTTAGTGGAGTCAATGATTCGTAAATCCAAACCGAAAATATACCTACGTGAAGTCAGCATGCTCAACATAAAGGCGACTACTCTTTTTACCTCGTAAAGGAGCTGAACTTTTCCCAGTTGAACACGTGTTCGGAATGTTTGATGGATGCAACATCGATGACGAAAGAAGATGATATCTCCAAACAATTAATGACATCACCGGAAGGACCCTTCAAACGAATTTTTCTGATCACAATTAATCGGGTAGAAAAAGTCTATCAGTATTTTTAAGCAAGATCGGACCAATAACTCAGCTGCTACCTTTTAGGGCTTTCGATGAAATCTACCGTGTACCTGTAGCAGCGGTATTATAGCTTGGGTATGAAAAAATTTTAATGGCCCCATGCTAGCTATGCCAAAGATGAAGGGTTTTGAGTCTTGAGCGAAAAGCAACTGCCCATTAACCACTCGACTCACCTTATCCGAATCTTTCGGGCTTACGACGGGATGATGCGCAAGATACAACTCGCATTAGGATCACTTAGGTGGAAAATTCAGTTTGATAGCTTTGACACTGCTTTTGCAATTGTCTTTTCTAATTTTGTCTTCGTATCTTTAGCGCAGCTCAGGGTTTTAACTTAAGCTTTGCTCCAAGGGTCTAAATTGGGTGACTGGAGGGTATTAATTGTTCGGCAGACTGACACTACTGTCAATCCAAAGCTGGGGCACAAAAAATCTTTCGCAATGTTGAGGGGTTTCAGAATTAAAGATGGATAGAGTTTGTTTATCCGCGCCGGAAAGGGCATCAACTTGTTTGAAAGACCCATAGCATTCCAACTCGTCACAGAGTTTTAGCTGTTCAGTTAAAGAGGAATCTTCAACAACACTCTTAAAACACAAAGAACTAGATCCAACGGATGGCGGCAACGGACCTTTTACGACCCAAACTATGGACCCAAACAAATGGAATATGACGAGTTATTTTTCTCGCGATAACAACTCAAAGGGTGCAACAGCGTGGTAGTAGTCTTGTCCTATAATAAGTTCAACTTCCTCATAGATATATTGAGTGGGCGCAAAACTCGAATTTTGTTTTTAAGGTAGCCACACAGTGTGAACACCCAATCCCTATTGTTTGGCTAGGAGTAAACAACAAACTTGACTCTCCGAGTCTCATCAACGCTGGTTAAATTAAGACCACGATAGTCCGATTAACAGGCTCTCGTACTAAGCCGAGACGGCTAACTAGAGACTTAGACACTCAAGAATGATCAGATGCAATTAAAAAAAAACACCGCCAGGGGACTGCTTTCATCCGAGGTCAGACAAAGTTTTGCAATTGGCAACAATCCCTTAGATGATTCATTGTCCCATATATCACTAATAACGGCGTCCGTTGAAATATTTGTATTCTCCTCGAATCTTCTAGCTCCAGCTTTAATTGAAAAACTGAAATTTTTCTTCCGAAGAAACCATTTATTGTCTCCGTGGAGCGAGACATTATGTGAGCTCTCACACTCTGGTTTTGGGCACGTTTTAACCTCAGTATAATATCGGTTAATATTATTGCAGATGAAGCTTGCGAAGCAAAGTTTCTGTTCAGCATTATTATCTTCATAAACAGCATCATTCAATATTCCATGACTCCCCTTGCATAAAACACATGGCAGATACTTAGACTTATCCTGTAAATTACTTGATACTTGGTTTTAGCTGCTAAAGTTGTAGCTGCTTTTGGATGAACTGGTTCCTCAGTTTTTGTCTTAGAGTTTACTATGCGCAATTTTCCATGCCCACAGCTTTTTCTTTCAAATATTTATTAAAATCCAAGAATGTTGAGCACTGTCAATTTGGCTCAACGCTATGCATGGGCCAAGTATCTTTACGATTAGGTGGAAGTTTAATAACAGCTTCACTTAACATGTTAACACTTTTTAGATCATCGTTGAATGACAATGATTTGAAAACTACTACCGGGATAGATATTTCAGAGAAAAAACTAATGATACTTTGCGAATTGTGCTCTCTAGTTGGGGAAAAAACTTAAGATGCGCGCCATTAAAAACGTGTGGTTGCCCAAACTTCCGTTACAAAATGGCCGGTGCTGCAACTTTGTACTTAATGCCCTTTTAGCTGAACTTGGCTTTCCCTGTGACGACTGTTTTCAAGAATGTCAATTTTGCATGAAATGTGAAATCAGCAAAATCAACGGTAGACTCAATTTTACCAACCATTTGTGCATGCTTAGCGGAATGACGTCGAGCTGAGCTTACTTCCATTCAGGAAGATGATCCTTGCGACACTGAAATTTTGATTCCGCTAAGTCACGAGCGGTGAGAGATCGATCCGATCAAAAACCTTAGTGTAGGTTAGCAGAAGTCAATGCGTAGTTTTCGTTGACTGAATTATAACCTGTTTTTTTATTATGGACAAACTGCGGAACATGTTGAGGATTAATTGACGGAGTTTCAAAATATACAATGTCATCATTAGAATAGGACGGTTGTGCTACACGGTGGGACAACAGTTGTCATATTAAAAAAAGTTTCAGCACTAAAACATGGAACAAGCGTGACAATTCGAGTTGTAGTTGCCAATCGCTATAAGTTCGAATCACCTGTATAGTAATCGTTGATAGAATGTGACACAGTATGCGGTACAAAAGGAACACAATGTTGCGCCTGAAATGCAATGCATGACCATGAGGCGCTGAAAGGAAAACCGGTGGCGGGTGCGCTACAGTTGATATGAAGTCACCACCAGAATATGCAGGTGACAAAGAAACAAAACCAGTACCTGGTTAGGCCATCAAGATTGGGACACATAATGATTCGGTTTACTCGTTGGCAAATGTACCACTATTTATAATTGAACTCGTAATCTGTACAGGAATAGCAGATGGTGGAGTTAAGAGTCTAGGAATCATGCGCTAGAAAGCATGTTGCCATCTGGGAATGAAACGAGTTGAACGGAAGCCTGCATTAGCAAAAAAACATAATTTGCCAAATTGAGGCATAGCCCGATGTCCATGATTACAGATTCCAGGGTCACTGGATGCCGTGTGCTATGATTATGACCAATACTTGTGTTGATTGCATGAACGATACTGGCAAGTTTGATTGGCTGCAATTTCATCGTTCCACCGTTGGTTTCAACTATTGTTTGACCATTGAGTACTGTATTCAAACTGCATAATATATATTTAAAACGCTTGTAGTGGTTTATTGAGAGCCAACAATTTTTCGATTGCCGGTTTTCTGACATTGTTAAAAATACTTTGGCTTCGTGATAAAAAATTTTTAACAAGCTTTAGTTAAAACTATTTTAGACCTGAAAACAAAGGTTCGTATTTTTGGTTCCAGTTTTCAAAACCTGTCAGAAGCCTGTCAGAAAACACTGACTCAAATACTTTCAAAAAAATACTTCAAACATTTTTCTTCCAAATTGGACAGGAGAATTAGCAACAATCTTTCAAATTTTTCTTGCTAAGAAACACATGATTTAAAAAAAAAATAATTAAAAAAACATAGTAACTTGATCCTAGTAATTTTGTATTTTCATTAATTTAGGTGGAAAGTTAAGATCGCATTTATTTATATAGATCGTGTGTTTTTTAAACGAAAACTATAATAAAAATTTTCGTTCTTTTCTTGTTAATAACTTTTTTAAGTTCGCTTCCAAATTTAATCTCAAACTGTCGAATAAAAGTTTTCAAATTGGTCTATTTCAGTGGCTTGACCATTGAATCGTTTTGAAGCTCGTTTTTCAAAAAAAAACAAGTTGGAGGGTTAACTATGAGTCTCGACAACTTGAAAAATCATGTCATTCAGATTTGATCAAAATGAGTTTGTCATATCAAACAAAAACTGACCAATTTCTTCTGAAAATCGTCATTGGATTACAAAAAAGCATCTCGACGACTAAAAACAAACTTTTGGTTTGCTCTGAATAACTTCGTCTTATCGAAAAAGTCAAACAAATATCCAAAAGTTTTGGACCAACACTCTATCAAAAACAAGAGGCTTGCTAACCTTGTGCATATAAGCATTCAACATTTTTATTCAATTTTTCAGATGGTAAAAAAAATTGTCAAAAAGCCTAGTTATAAATCGAAAATTGACTGAATAAAAAAAACCACAGCAAGCGTAAACATTCCGCACTTTTTTCGAAAGTATTCGAACAAAAGAAACACATTTTAATGACATCCTTTATTTCAACATAGAAAATGCAGCCTGTTTTAAAACCATAATGAGCGCCGAAACCTTGAAAACCTCAGCCACTGATTCATATCTGAAGCACTAGGAACTTTTCGTGTTCAGTTTAAAACAAGACAGTTTTTGACAATGTCATGGCTTGAATGCTCAGACTGACCTTTAATATATGTGAAAAAGCGTTTGATTTATACTATTGATGAATTTTTCAAAAATTAATAATTTCCCATTGCGCTATGAAAAATAGTATTCAGCATCGAATAGTGTTCTAATAGGGGCGGATCAAGGATTTTCTCAAGGGTGGGGCAGATTTTCAAAACTTGTTTACCTTCTTTTTTAGGTCGACCAATTTGATTTTCTGAGATGTCCCAAATCACTATGAAGACCCCATTTTTAACAAATTTCTGTACAGCAGTCAATTTTTGAAGAAGAAAAAAACTGGCCAAAAAGGCGTTTTTAAATACTTTACGTAAATTTTGACCAAAAGAATGCGTTTTTTCGGCGAGCTACCCCCTCAAAAATTAGTATATATTGGCGCTCAATGCGCTTTTAGAAAAAATTTAGGGCCATTCGCTCAAAAATGCACCCCCTCCCCCCTTCCTAATTCGCTACTGCCTGTAATATTTTTTGTTCTATTCGTACGGCCTAGATTGACTTGTCGAGCATGGCCAACTACAGGATGATGTTCAACCGGGACTACAATGGCAGCGACTACATCAACGCCAACTTCATCCCAGGCACTTAACGAACTACTTTCTAACCATATCCACTCTTGTGCATAAGAGACCGCTAACTGACTTCTATCGACCAATTAACAAAACTTTATAAATCCCAGTTGCCGTGAAAAATTTGCTCCCGAAGTTTGCGGAGAATGTCAATAATGAGAAAGAACCAAACTATGGATATAGAAAAGTCTTAAAGTCCGGGTTCTTTCTATTGTTGGTCCCTACAGAACTTTGTAATTTTTTCTTTTTCTTTGGTCTTTTTCTTTGTCACTGACGAACAAGATCCCCTCTGGTATTTTTCTGCGACATATAAATTTAGCCAACCAACTTTAATAAATTTTAGAAAGTGCCATAAGCGGTAAGATACAATTAAGTCCTTGAGTGCTACAAACATGCAATTAGAGTCCCAAAACAACATTTTTTGATTTTTTTATTTGCTTGCGGCGCTGAAATTTTTGGCAATAAGAGAACTTTAAAGCTTTGGGTTTTGATCCTTTCTTGATATTGGGAGAGCTCGAAAAATAAATCTAGTCGGCCCAAAAAGGTCATCAAAATTTTAGATTATTTGAAAATGAGTACAACATCCGTGTGTAATTGTTTGATATGGAATTCTTTTGGTCCATTTTATATACAAAAAACGAATTCTGTTGGGTGGCTATCAGTTTGTGACGTTTAGTTTAATCTGCAGCTCCTCGATGGGCCATTTACTTGAGTTCCATGTTCCTTTTAACCCGTCGTAACATAGCCTATTGTTCACACTGCACTAATAAACTTCTTTTCTTGTAATTTTCACTTTATTATTGTAAACTATTGGAACTAATTGTCATTTTTAATGGGTTTAAACTTTTAAAAGTTGAGCTCCTATACCTGTGCAGCGATTTCTGAATTAGGATCTTGCAGTTAGTTAGTTGTGACTTGAATAAAGAGTTGTTTGTCATTGAGCGTGGTCATAATATGGCTGGTGTGTTACTGATGTGTTAGGAAACAAGAGTGAGTTCACGTACATTGCCACCCAGGGACCCCTGCACAACACTGTCAATGCATTCTGGAGGATGGTGTGGGAGTACGAGGTCACACTCATCATCATGCTCACACAGGTACACTCACTCCACCCTCCCACTCACATCCACGCTCAACCTTAACCAATGGTCCCAGCTGCTTTTTTGACAGATCATGTACTGGATCATTTATCTAAAGGCAGTTCTCCCCAACCACAATATGCTAGCAAATAGTGGTTGAGCGACAGAAAATTTTTTTGGATAAAACAAAAACTGGCAAAAAAACTGGTGGGGAAGAACTTTGTATTCGGTTGTGTTTTAGTTTAATGCTTTTTTCCACGCAAAATCAGGTACCAGAATAGAAATCAGAATATGTTGTGTAATATATCATTAAAAAACAATCTCAATCGTGATTAGGATCAAGTTTTTTCAGTGGCGAGGAAAACCTATTTGATTTTTTGCTTTTCAGTTGATTTTGAGCGAGTAAAACGCACGAGTATACAGTGTAATAGCAAAAGCTTTTTCTTAAACCCATATTTTTTTGTTCTATTAGGAGTAATGAACGTAGTGAGTACTCTTATATAGATCTTGCTGATTTTTTTCAGGATAAAGTCTTAAAGTTTGTTTACGCTCAGTTTTGATTTTAACGGTTTGAATTGTGGCTTCTTTTTAAGTTCAGTGCATTTCCATTGTTAAAAGGAAGGCAAATTCCACTATCGAACAGCGAAAGTTAAAATGTCACGAAAACGCTATCGACTTCTGATTTCGAAAATGGGAACAAATTCTCAGATTTCCCAGCGAAATAAAGTATTACTTATTGATCCAGTTTTCTCAAATTGGGTTAAATTTAACAACAAAGAGTGAATCTTAAATCGTTCTAAAATTCCAAAGGGCTTTAAAGCCATCTATTTTTTTCTTCAAAATTCAAAAGTTGAAGGCTCTTGAAAAAACAAGTCAGTTTTTTTTTCAGTTACTTTGCGTTCCCTACTTTTCTCCAATTGTTAGTTGGCTATAATTTTAGGAAATTAATTTTTTGACATTTGATTTAGCAATTCCTTTGCAATACAAAACAACAAAAAACAAAATAAGTTCTGCGAATTTTAAATAATTGTTAGAAAAGAAAAAATTTTCAATTATTTGTTTTTTCTTTTTGAAAACGACTATAGCTGATGATGATTCGCTAGAGAAAAACTGATGATGGTTTTTCACTTTTTTCTTCTAAAAAAAAGAAGAAAAAAGTGCAAAAAAATGTTTTTAGGGGTAATGAACATAGTCTAGCAAGACTCTCTTAGAGGTTACGGTCACTTTTTTATTTTCTTTTTTGAGAAAAACGTTTTAAAATTTGTTCAGGCGCATTTTTGATTTTTCGTGGTTTGACTGATTATTTTATCGGTTCACTTCATTGCTAGGGCAAACTCCACTATCGAACAGCAACACTGTAAAGATCACAAAAATTTGAATGAATTCTAGTTTCAAAAGTGGATTTTAATTTTCAGATTTGCCAGTGGAATACAAAGTAATCCTACTGATACCATTTTTTAAGATGGGTTATTTTTACTAATAGCAATGAACGTAATGAAGACTCTAATATAGGTCTTGCTGATTCTTTTTGTTTTTTATTCAAGAAAAAGTTTTAAAATACTGATGCAACTAGGTATAATGCACGTTTTCAGTTGAATTGAAATTCATCTGTTGAAAGTGACGTAAATAGCACTCTCCAAATACGAACGTGGAAATAACGCAAAAAAAAACAAGAAAGATTTCTAGTTTTGAGAGTGGATTTTATTTTTAACATTTGTCAGCGGAATAAAAATACAGTTTTTCTCAAATTGGGTTCATATTATAAATAAAACGTCCTTCATAAATTGTTCTAGAAATTCAAAGAGCTTAAAGCGCATCTAATTTTTTCTTTAAAATTTGTAAGTTGAAATTTTTTTCAAGAAAGTCAGTGTTTTGTATTTACGTTCTCTTGTTTCATCGACGAAGTTAGTCAAACTTTCCGTGCTGCTTGCGCAGCAGCTGGCTGCTACTTTTATACAAGTTTGAAAACTGCTTCAGCACAACTTCCAAGCAGTTCAATATATAATTCACTCTGAGACAAAAGGAATCATCATTTTATAAAAACCACATTCTTAAATATTAGAAAACGTGGTTACAAAAATTAAATTAGACTGTGTTTTTTGGTTTTTACTTCAGAAAAACAAAATTGAGAAAAATAAGCACTATTTTTTCATCGGTTTCTTTATGTTTAATGACTTTTTCAAATGACCTTGAAAAAGCAATTTTTATTTAGATTTTTTCAAAACAATATCAAAGATTCGCAAATTTCGTAATTTGTTTATAGATAGTTTATTAATTTTGACTTCATGCTCTCAGTTTTAGACAATCTCTCAGAAACATTGGTCTCCTGAGTTTGCATTTAAGACACTTCAAGCCGTGATTTAATTCGGCTCAAAATTTTTTTCAAATTAAAGTATTGCAGTCTACTGACATGTTAATAGATGCAAAATAATTCACTCTAAACTTTACATAGCTTACGGCGGGCAAATCTTTGAAAAAAAAAGAACCTCTCCAAATTTTTAAATTTTTTTTTGATAATTTGTCAATTTTTGGCTCTATTCCTTTTTTCCATCACGTTCAAGAGTCAATGAACGTAGTTGTTTGTTTTCTTAAAATTTGTTCAGGCATTACTTAACTTATTTTGCGTTTTAATTTTTAATTTCGATTTAAGTTCAGTTCATTTGCCTTGTGAAAAAGAAGGCAAATTCCACTATCGAACAGCAGAAGTATAACAGTCACAAAATCGTGATCGACTTCTAAATTTGAAAATGGAACTTTATTATCAGATTTCCTAGCGAAGTAAAAGTTTTATGTACTGTTCGTTTTCTCAAATTAGGCAAAACTTTAAGTGTATCTAATTTTTTCATCGAAATTCATTTTCAAAAAGCTGAAATTTATTCAAGCAGAAATTTATTTTCAAAAATTAAATTGGTATTTTTTCTGTTTACTTGCGTTCTTTGACTCTTTGCCGAGTTTCTGTTTGCTATTATTCAAAGTTTTCATTTCCAGTTTACTGTACTTCCAGTGTTGCTGAATGCGAATTCATTGCTAAATACTGTGAAGTAGTTTTTTTAAGTTGAAATTCAAATAAAGGGAGGGGGTTTTTGGCTAAGAAAAGAGCCCAATTTTTTGCCAAAAACCACATCAGGTACGTTGATGTGCATTTGGAACATTCAGAGCTTCGTCGGGATACGACGGATACGAGCGGTTTTAATTTTTTGCAGTGCATTGAGAATGACGTGCTGAAGTGCAACCAGTACTGGCCAGAGGATAACATGCAGTGGGACTATGGGGACTTAACTGTGGAGGGGTTCAACGAGACCAAGTCTGTCAACTTCACCCGCAGAGAGTTCAGACTCTACAGGGCACACACCAACCTGAACAGAGATGTGGTAGGCCACCATCTTTTCTTATAATATGATTAAACATTATAAATGTATAATGTAATCTCTAAATTGTATAAATTAATTAATATAAACGGTTAAAACTCAACGGTAGACTTTGTATAGAAAATTTATAGCTGGAGAAATTTGCCAGAAAAATTCTTAATGGTCATTTTTTGGAGAAAAGTATTGACGATTTGTTTTATTTCAGTCCAAAATCAATTCGAAAAGCCCGGTAAAAGATCAGCCCAAAAGGATAGTTGAGCAGTTCCAGTACACAGCCTGGCCTGACTTCGGATGTCCTGAGAATCCAGAACAAATGCTCAAGTTCCTGGCCAAGATTCGATCCTACTACCCTTATGCTACCAAGCCAGAGTCCCCCATAATAGTTCACTGCAGTGCAGGATGTGGAAGAACTGGCTCGTTCATTGCACTGGACCAGATTAACGAGAACATTGAGAAGTCTTCGGTGGTGGATATTCGAGGAATTGTGGCAAGTTTGAGATCGGCCAGGTTATTGTTATATTTGTGATTTTGTCAGTTTTCCAATTTTAGCTTAAAGGACCGTCATTAATGGATTATTGGCAATGATAATAATCATGAAAATATCTGCGAACGTGATCTATTAAAGCCTTGTTAATCTGTCTAAGGATCGAAAGTTTGCTACTACTTTTCACCTTCATATAACAAGTTTTTTCAAAGAGTAGAGCAACCGACTGCTTCTTAGGCCCCAAATGGTTCAAACGCAGGAGCAGTACGAGTTTATTCACGAAGCTGCGGGTGAAATGATCAAACGCGAGTTAGTCCGTCGAAAAATCCTGCCGGACAAAGACACTGAGTACGAGACTACCAAAGGACGCCGCAAACGAAAGTTGTCGTTGCTGACTAGTACCAACACGAATGAAGCGTCGGACACGATTTACGAGAAGCGAAAGACGAGATCGGATCACGTGGCTTATATACCCATGGATGTCATGTCGACACGATCGCCACCCGACACTAACGACAGTCAGAAGGATAAATAGGGAGCCATACAAATATTGGATGCGTGCAACAAAACTGGTAGTATTGGATAGTCTTATATTTGTAATGGAGTGTATCTGTGATAAGACATGAATATTTGACGTATATTTAGAGACTATAGCTGAAGTATTATTTGCCCAAAATTCATCTGCATACTTTGTATGGGAGCTAGTTAATTATACCCTCTCTAGCAAAGAGGTCAGAATTGCAAATCTATTGCTATTCTGCAAGCATATCTATTACTATATCGGCAAGAAATACAAATATGATCTTAAAATATTTCGAAAATGTTTGTCAATTATATCATAAATATTTGCGGTATGTTTAAGGGCGACGTTTTTCAAGGATGCTATTTTGATTCTATTGGAATCTTTAGGCTTCGGAATATCTTGGAAAAAACTTGAAAAACCTCGGAGATTTTTTGAAGACTTCAGGAAATTTTAATTGTTTTTAAGAATGTTCATTAACTTCATCAAAATGTTCATCAAAAAAGGGACAAATTTTCGAATAATTTTTGCTGCTTTTATTTTTGCTGTCTTCAAGATTTTGGCACTATTTTCTAGATGGCTGACTCTCGGAAAGAAAAAAATTTGTGTATAGTTAACTTTTGAATTAGTCCATTAAAGAAGCTGAAAATTTTTACTATTTAGCATATGGGAGAAAAAGCTAGCTAGAACTCCTATGTGAATTGAGTAAATTATACAATTTTTCTTAATTCAGTGCTAACTATTTTCAAGTATCCTTAAATAAAAACTTTCACTTTGTGTATTTGATTCATGTATCCATTTATTTGTGAACGCTATTCGAATATTTTGATAATTTTGACTGATAACTTCAAGCTGTGTGTTCAAGCTTGCTAAATCTTTGAGCTAGGGTTGTTATTGTGAGTTGTACTCTTATTCATCAAAAATGTATAATTTCTATATGTCACATGATTTCAAAAATCGACAAATTTTGTTTGAGTATATTAAATTTTGTGTATGGTTGATTCATACAATTTCCAATTATTGATAAAGGGTAACAAGACTGCTCGTATCAGGGCGAAGCCCTAAATGTTCCGACTACCATTTAAGGTTTTTGGAAGAGTGATAACATTATAAAATTAAATTAAATACAACAAAATGAACTTCAAATTTTAGAAGAAAAACTTTTTTCTAAAATTTGAAATTTTTTTATGAAAATCATCCCCCGACTCGCCATATAAAGTACGAAAGGATAGATTTTGCTCCTTGTAACAAATCAATTATGGCAAATAGGCTATTTTTAACCAATTTGGAACGATTTACAAGACGGATTAAATCTCCCCTTACGCGTTAATAGCGCGAAATATATCGCGCGTTAATTGTCCCAAATTGGTCAAAATGGCCAAAATGGAAATCTTCAAACCCTCATAACTTTACGAAAAATGATCACAGGTGAAATATCTTTTCAAATTTAAGCTCAAGACAACAATACCTTTCGAATGATATAAAAACATTCCGTCAAAAATTGCTAGTTAAAAAGTCGAAATTTGTCTGAAGAAAAAAAAACCCACCCCGAGCACAAATATTACGTTACTTTCGTATCGAAAGTCGGAACAATAAACGTAATGAAGTTTCCTATAAAAGACTTGGTAATTTTTTAGTATTTTGTTTGCAGGATGGACTATTAAAAATCGTTCACGCTCAATTTTGATTTTGCGTGGTTTGACTTTTGATTTATTTTTGAATTCAGCTCAATTCCACAGCTAACAAGAAAGCAAGCTCCACTATCGAATATCAAAAATGAGGAGGTTACCAAAAATGTTATCGAATTCTAGATTGGAAAGTGAATTTTAAGGTTAAGATTTACCAGCGTAATTAAATTTTTACTTTTTGATCAAGTTTTCCCAATTCGGGTTAATTGTATAAGAAAAGCATTAATGATAAACTGATCTTGAAATTCAAAGAGCTATAAAGGCATATACTTTTTCTTTGAGTTTTCGAAACTGAGATTTTTGAAAAACACGTTCATTACTTTTTTCCAACTGTCCGTTGGCTATGTATATTTGTTTGCAAACAAAGAAACGTATAACATGTGTTGAGGTTAATCTAACCTACGGTTTCAGCAAAAAAATTATTTAACATGGGTCTCATTAAGTGTCAATCAAAAAGTGAAGACCCTTGTTTCGGTTAATCGTTTTTTCAACTCTATAATTTTGTCACGCCCAAATTTTTTTGTTTTTCGACTTTTGATTTTTGATTGCGCTCAAACCAAATAACAAGTTTAAAATCTGATTCAATTCCATTTTTGCAATTATTTCACTCAAAAAAAAATCAAGCGCTACTTTTTTTGAAAATCAAAGAGCTTAAAGGCCTGGTAAATTTCCATCCTTTTTTGAATTGTCTTATGGTAATATTTGAGAAATTTTGACTGAATGGTTAATTGATACAATTAACCTTTATTCAAATATTTCCAAGAAATGAATTGAAAAATTGCCCTTGAACAGCATAAAAAGTTTTCAGGTGGTAGGAAAACGAAAGTTTTTAATTAAGCTAACAGCTTAAACATGGAAAAAAGCTTTCAGATTTTTCGAAAGCGGGCCACTAGTTTGTGTTTATTGTGAAAAGGAAATTTTGCGCTCTATCAATAGACTAAATGAGATTGGTTTTCTATTAATCAATTGCCAATCAGTCGTCTTCTAAAAGTTTAAGAAGCTGTATTACGGCGAAAAACAAGTAAGTGAGGATTATATTTTCTAGCAAGAGGGAATTAATTCACTATCAGAGGGCCCGAGAATAGTGAATTAATTTCCTTGCTGAGTGGAAAAACAGTTGCAAAAATGCATTAGTCAACGAAAACTTGTGTGTTCATGCTATGAACGCACGCAAGTTGACTAACTCAAATTCTTTTGCTGGAAGGTAGCAAATTGCGCTCTCCAATTACGAAATCGTAAATGGTGCAAAAAAGATCGATTTCAACTATCAAAAACTACTAGCGAACAAATAAACTCACCCATTGAATCTTTTTTAGAAGTCGATGAGCATAACTAAGATTCTTGTACACGTCTTGGTGATTTTCATTTTTTTTTCAAGAAAACAAACACGTAAAATATTCCAATAATTGCAGAAGTGCATTTATACATATCAATGCATTTATGAATGCACTCAGGAAATTGTGTGTTTTTTGAGCTCAAATCAGTTTTTTGTCTAAGAGGTAAGCAAAATGCGCTATCTTATAACGGTTGCAGAAATTGGTGCGAAAATAAATTGAAAGACTTTTATTTTCCAAAGTGGAACTCAACTTTAAGATTTCTCAGCAGAAAAAAAAATTGGCTCTTTGATTCAGTTTTCCCAAAATGGATTAACTTTATTGTACATAACTCAATTATAACGTCGTTAAAATTGAAGAACCCGTAATTTTTTTAATTTAATTTTTTTAAAGGCCGCTTGTAATTTTTTTAAATTCGTAGAAAATTAGTTTTTTTTTCCAAAAATGTTTCAGTAATTTTTTTGTTTCTTTGCTTCGTTCATTGTCTTTTTTTTTCAACTGTCTGTTGGGTAGTCCCATAAAAAAAGTGAGTTATAACATGTGTGGTTAACTCATAGAGTAATTTCGGATAGGGTACACCGTCTGCTCGCCACGCTATCTTATTTTCGGCCGGATAGATTCGTGCAACTTCTTAGTCTAATACCGATCCTAATCTTACTGCTATACTTACTAGTCTCAGGGTGTTTAACTAGTCTCTGCTAGGCTCAATAGATCTAGGGTATACTGGTTTATTGCGGCAGCTGAAGTTCTCTTGGAGAGGCAACTAATTTCTAAGTTAAATTCAAATCACTCTGGTGCTGAAATTACAAGTAATTTCAGCTCTTACAAATAAGTGGGTTGTTAGTTAGATGGATTATGATTGGTTAATATTAAATATTTTAGAGTGGTAAAATATCCAATTTATCCAATTATAAAATGCAGTTTAGATCAGGTTCCACCCATCCGGGTTTCACAGAGTTTTTTAGAATTATCTTTCTGCAATTCAAAGGATGGATGATGAACGTTGGTATTTGGCGAACATGATATTCTTGTCCGGTTTCTCTTGTTAAAGAAGTTCCAAAACGCTGGAGTTAGGGACATACAGTCGTTGCGTCTTCTTGTGACAACGAATGTGATCCCCAATGAAATCAATCTGATTTCAAAATGATTTGCTATGACGGGTTTTTCTGTATTATGTAGAGAACTTGTTTTGTGTTCAACCTCGTCTGGGAATGGCGTGGAGATCGTGTGTGGAAAGGATGCCTCGTAGCTCGGATCTGTACGTATACTTGAACATCGAGGTGGTCATTGGTCTAGTTCAATGAAGTCCTTTTCTGCGAAGTCAAGTCGTCCTCTAAATTCTTTGAGTTGTGATTGTGGACGGCATATCGGTTGTGGTTAGCCATTCTTGTTCGAGTATAGTAGGGTCATTTTGTCTTTGGTTGTTCGTCTTTGTTGTTGTGTATTGATCTATATACTGCAAAGTATAATTTACATTTTACAAAACTAAAAACTATGTTAGTCCAATTTTTAATCATGATCTTAGTAAATCGTTTTCACAAAAGCGTTTTGTTTTAGTTTGGTTATTTTGAAGAGTTACTCACCCTTGAGTACCTCTTATTAAAAATAGAGATGTGGTCACAAAGCGTGGATGTAGCACGGTGGATTAGGCCGGCTATAGAGCATGCTCAGGACGTCCTCTCTGGTGGGTTAGGCCAGGAGTGGGAGTATGATTTCGTGCTGTTTCTTTGAGAGGTCCTGTTATGTGATAACGTTTTATGTTGGGTTTATGTTTGTCTTTTCTTATGTTACTTTGGTCGTGTCCTTTTTTCAAAAATCAAATTGTTTTTGGTATAGGTTTGTCTTGCGACTTTTTTGTGTTTTATGATTTCTTTCTTAGATTTTATAATAGTCTTCAAAAGAAAAAATTATCCAGTTTTAAACTGGGTTAATCCGGTTTGGGTACCGTTGGTTTTCTTTTCTTAGTCATGCTGTTATTTTATGATTTATGGTG